TAACATTCACAGAGAGTCATCTGAATAAGAGGGAACATCCAGGGAGCGGCGGTTCTATGGAATAAAATGCCTTGTTGATGCCAGAGGTCAGAGAAGAACTGCTACAAACTGATAAGAAGGCAACCACTACTCAAATATCCGCTCACCACAACCAAGGTTTGCAGAAGAGCATCTCTGAACCCAGCACAGCAAACCTTGAAGCAGATGTGCTACAGCAGCTGAAGACCACACTGGCAGCAACCTCTATCGACTTAGAACAGATAACTAATGCCTGATCTTATGAATCTTGATTTCTGCTACAACATTCACATCACAATCACAATTTTGTGTAAACAACATGAAAGCACGGATACTTCCATCCTTGTTTTAAAAGTGCAGGCTGGTGGTGTAATGGTGTTGGGGATATTTTCTTGGCACACTTTGAGCTCCTTTGTACTACACGACTGTTGTTTAAAGGCCACCGCATACCTGAGTATTCTTGACCTGAGTATCCAGTGTACCTATCTTCTGACAACATATCGGGTCATGAAGCTCAAATCATCTCTACTTGTTGAAAGCATGCAACAAAAAACTATAAAGCAGTATTGATGTAACTGATGAAGTCGCCAGTGCACGTGTGTCTTCCATGTACCGCAATCACAGTAAATGTCATACGAGTATGTCAGTGCTCCACCTATCCACAACACAAACTGCCCCAGCTCACAACATCTGTGCAGTCTATACATCACTATCAACACATCCTTAATTTCTAAAGTGAATCTAAAGTGTATACAGTGACAAATATGCCGATAATTATCACTAACTCCTGTTTTTGTTTTTGTTTTTTCTTTGCTTTACAGTCTCATTTGGGTTATTGTTTAGCTTTCACAGTGCAAGTAGTATATTATTTAGTAATTTCAGCATTAACATGTAAAATATCAAAACCCTGAAATTGAAGGAGTAAAATAGAATTTAGCCGTCATTCATTTTATGAAGTATCAGAGGTTTTTCTTTGCCTTTTCAAACTGTCTGCTGAGGTAAAGGACTATTCAACAAACTCCTTCAAACACGATGACGCCATGGTGTCTTTGTCTCAGGCTGGAGTTTGCTGTTCCAGTGAAGCTCTGTTGTGCAGTCAAAACTGCTACACACATTCACTACTGGGAGTTTGCCAGTACAAGCACAGTCTCTGCTGCTGGCTACTGGAGCAGTTGGGGGGTGGGGGTTACTTTGCTCAAGGGCACCTTGAACTGATCCTGTTGGGGTGCCAAACAGTGCTATTGCTGCCACAACCAGCTGACCCTAAAGCCAGTTTCATGCATGTGTGTTCGTGTGTCCTTAAACTGTTGTCAGCACGCGCATGAATGGTGTGTTTAATCTCTACGAACACAACAATTACCCAGAGAACCGACAGACTGAGACAAACTGTCAAAGACAGCATGAGAGTGAAATGGAAAAGGAAGACAAAGACAGCGAGGAAAGAAAGTATGGACGAGTGAGGGAGTAAGAAAGCAAGACGGGCAGAGAGAGGAGAGACGTCCCAGAACTCTGGCGTACATAGATATTATTCATTGAGAAGATATGAATACACCCTCAAGTGCAATGCTTTGAGCCACCTGAGAGTACACACACGTACTTATGAACACAGAAGCACACAGAAGTGCTGTACACACGCAAATAATGCGCAAGCACGAGTAGGAAGAAAAGCTGTTGAAGCACAGACATAAATTACACTCGCACACGCCTGCTGATAGTATACAACACATTCAGTACATGCACAGCCACGCACCAGGAGAGGGAGGAGGGAAAGAGGAAAACTGAAAAGAGGAGAAGTGGAG